AATTTAAGGTTGCAGAAAGAGAAGGCAAGAAGAAGGGGTCCAGATTCAGATTAATTGATGTAACACAGGCCATGTTGTTGAGGCCAGATGGGCACCCCAGTAGATATGGGCATTGGCCAAATGAGGATGTAGTTATGTATAATGATTGTGTGCATTGGTGTTTGCCTGGACCTGTTGATTCTTGGAATGATTTCTTGCTTCATTTGTTGAAGATGGAGCGCAGGAGATCCCACATGGAAAGAACATCTCTACCTTAACCAAAAAAGTGGGAGAATATTTTTCTATTTTTTTCAATATTTTTAAGTATATTCTTCTAATGAATATTGGTTATATTTGCAATGTATTTAACAGAGCAAAGGTTTTAAAAATTGAATGAATGTTATCGTCTCTCAATTGGCAATCAAGCATTCTCTCTAAACAATTTTCCTACAGTCTCTTTTGTTTTCTTTAGTAACTTTAAGGTCATGGGTTCTAAGAACTCGAATAGGCCCAATCCTATGACAAATAGCAATTATAATAGTGATGGCAAAAAAACTAGCCTCGCCCTGTCCTGCCCTACCCCGGTGCCGCCCCGCCCCGACAGGTTGGTGGGGCGGGGCTGGGCGCCCCGAACCCGCCCCGTGAAAAATGGGAATCCTTCCATACAGGATTGCTCTTCTCACAGGATTCCTTCCATATAATTAAGGAAGCCATTGAAAAGTGATCAAAACCTTAAATAAAACGATCATACATAAGCGAAAACACTTTCGGGTCATCTTTTTATTGTCTCATTGTTTTGAAGTTTTTACTATGGCTTAGGCTTCAATCTTCCTGTGTCATCAAACCCGAAAACTATAAACCAGTTCATGGTTTACTGGTCACAAGGAGATGCTACATACATATCATTTTTAGAAAGAATAATGATTCATTACTAGTTATGATCATCACCAGTTTAGGTGATAGTGAGCCTCGTGATTTATTTTTCAATGAAATTGTGATGATAATTACTATAAATAATAACTCATGTTAGAAATTCTTTTTGAACTTATATTAGTTTAACTCGTTACACCATGAGTGTCCACGACTATGTGAATTCGGTGTAAAAATAGAATAAAATAAATGCAAGTACAAGACATAAGGAGTTGACTAATATTTTCCACTATTTCAACAAAAGAAAAAAGGGGAAAAAATGTACTCTCTGTATTTTATGCCTAGATGATCTCTCTATTTTTTCTCGTTTTACTATCTACAATATACTAAGCCTAACTCTTTACACTATCCTTTTTTTCACACTCAATGTTTCGTTTGCGCTTTCTCTTTATACATAGAATGCTACGTAAACTCTCACTTTTTTTTTTTTTTGACAATTCGTATTAAGCTAAATTTTACATTTAAATTAAGTCTTCAGCCATCTTTGCATTATATTTAACATCATGTACAACAACACTTTAGATTTTAGTAATTAGAATTTATTAGTAGGGATATGAATTTTAACGATTATATATGTACTATTATAGGATATATACCTATTTGTCTACCATTATTTCAATTTTTTTTCTTAAACTCATTATAAGTGACGTGCAGGAGCATGACTAAGAAAAATGCTTCGTTTCAATTATTTTCAACCGAAACCATTGACTCGTATGTATGGCCAAATCATCATTTGAAACTTTAGATGTGCAGCAGCCTAAGAAAAGTTCTGTTTATGTAGCTTCGTGAAGCTCCAAGCTATGGCGTTTCTTTTTGGAAATAATAAGCATAGTACTATACATTTACGCACAAAAAATATCTTTATATTAATAACAACCTTAGCATTTATCCTCCTCACAGTTGTCCGTTTAGATTGCCCTTTTCTTTCTTACAAGAATCCTGCTGAAATTTCCCCTACATACCATGGAAAGAATGAATCAATATGTTGGGAGGAGACGACAGATTA